TAGTCTAGTATCTATGGGTATAGGAGTCGGGTTGAAAGAGCATTGGGTAATTTAGGTGTAGGTTATTCATCTTAGGGACCAAGGTCAATAGTGTTTTTTAAGGTTGGATAGAATATTATGCAAAAGAAATCGCGCTATATAGTAACATACCTATGATCCATAAAGTCCATTAAGCAAGAATCAGGGTCGTCCTACTTTCTAAAGTGATGTTTTTTCAATCAGTATACTTATTATTTTTGTGTATTGTACATGGTTTGCGTAAGTTCAATTGTCTCCCACGAAGGACCTGGCAGCATACATTAAAACAAATTGTTCGACCAGTCAAAGAACTTTTGATTATAAATGCTTAAAACTAGGGCCGCATAAGTAGAGGGCCCTGGGCATATAGTAGCTAGAGGCCCGCAGCTGAAGGGGCTCCAAGACACGGGGAAACTGGGATCCTACTTGACCACTGAAAAAAAATTGATGAGAGCGATGAGAACGGTACTTTTTGGTCTGATCTTTGGGTATTTGGGGACCCCATCAAGCCGAGACCTTCAGCAATTACCTCTTGGGCCCATAAGGTAAAATTCGGTCATCTTTGTTTAGTTGTGTTTATGCGTTTAAACAGGTTCACTGCACCTTTGAAAGACAATAGGGATAATTTGGATGGTCAAATATTGTAGTGGAGTGGGATTTTCTCACTTCTATTTACTTATCCCCCACCCAAAAAAAAAACCGGACTGTTAGCTTAACTGAAAAACTATCATTACTGGACTACAATTTACGAGAGCACCCTGGCGACTGCTCTTCGGAGAATGATCTCTAATTATAAACAAAATAATGTTTTCTTAGGTTTTTCATATCATTAAATGTTTCATCGAAAAGTTAACTGCGTCTTTAGGGATGACAGTGATAGACAACGGCGAGACATCCGCATGTTCCAGATTCGATTAATTTCTTGTTTGCCTGCGATTCTTTCACACTCATCCACGGAAGTCCATCTATGTGATGTTTATGCAAACAGGAAACATTATTATGTTGATGACGTAAGCAGTACTTCTGATTCTGAGGATACGTGTGATTTTTCCATATACAACAATCCCATACTAACATGGCACCGTTCATCGGATCTAGGGTAGTAGTGGAAAGAACATTACTCCGAACGACCAAATTTTTTACCACGTCAACAATCTTGAAAATGATCTGTCGGAATTGGGTGCAAACGTTAAGTGAATGATAATTAGTTCTAAGAGTAAAGTACAAAAATGTATCCAATAACAGAACCTCAGTCAACACTAACGAAAGCCAATGATTTCCGTGTAGGTTTGAGTCCATCTTCTACGTGTGTAAAACTAAAAATGATTCAGAATTTTCCTCAGAATTTATCAGGATTCGTTTCAAGTTATCATTTACCCGTCGATAGTCAGACAATTGGTTTCTAGGCCATTCAGCCAAAATCTTTTTATGGGGATACCTTCATACCTTGCACCGCCTCTGGGTAACCAAAGCGACATATTTATGAATGAACCAAGGCGGCCGTTGAATTGTACATTCGTTCGATATAACCGGGTTATTACCAGACCAGAATGGACCGCAATGAGCATACAAAACAAACGAACACTCGGAATTACATCATATCACTTTGCGTCTCTGCCCTATATGCACGGCCTGCTATTGTCCTGCTCTACAACTGACATAATCAGGTTTGCTTTGGCCAGGTGGCTGATAGCGGGTGCATTCTATGAAGTTTCGAGGTCTGCAGTTTCACCACAACTTGTTTGCTTGCTTAGGGATATCTATTAGCTATAAAAGTGAAGGTAGGTACTGGAAATAGTAAAAAACAAACACAAAAACTTTAGAAGAGAACTTGAAAGTATTCTAAAGCGCGTGTAACTGTGACTTCGCTTTGGTGAATGCTTTTGATGGAGAGTCCGCCGCTAATCCACCATTCAAAAGGTTGCCTGCTACAGCCTCACATTACATCTCTCTCCAAACAAAATTATCGCACAGTAATTGATATACACATAACTAGGTATTAAGAGAGGTGCGTTGTATGGTCAGTCTCTAAAACCTTTTAGTTTTCATGAAAACGTATAGAAGTTTCACTGACATTAATGTTGACAGTCATGGAAAGGATCAGAGTGTGACTTATCCAAATTTCACAGGGATCTGTTATACAAAGTTTCTGTTTCTAGCAATCAAACAACCTGTACCTCAATAATGTCCTTATAACATGTTACTGTTTAGGTAGAATCTACAACAGAATAAAGTGAGCCTTTAGGGTTGTCAGATGATTCACAGCTTCACCTTTCATTTAACATTTGAGCTTTGATGCGAAATTATATCAATACATGACCCAATTAGAAATATGAGCCACTTTGATTTAACTTAAACGTCAGACTCGTTGCTTTCAATCCATGCGCTTGTTACTGAGGACACACTTACTTTGGCATCACTAGTAGATACCGCAACAAGTAATTTGATCCCCTGTGTCTGTCGCTCTCATCAAGAGGAGAATGAGACTGTCTAGATAACTAGCAACCATGTCAAATACACCGACTTAAAGCATATAACGTATTTCTCTTACGTTACTTAATTTAATTGTGTGATATTTCGCGTATTGCCCTAAAAGTTAAATAGCTATGGGATGACGTACAGGTTTTGAAAACAACTTGAACAACCTCTGTTTCGTACATATACAGGGTTTTCCCATAAGGACATAACAATTTCGTAACTCAATAAAACGCGAAGTATTTGACATATCGGGTTCAAATTTATTACAGGTGTAGTAGAGATGTAACATTTAACTATAGAATTCGACTTCGGCCATATGTCCACCACGAGCACGTTTACAGCGGTCGATTCTTTCGACCCAATTTTCCTCCAGTCTATCACATATATTGACCGGGATGTTGCGAAATTTGCGTTGAATGTTGTCGAGTAGCTCATCTAGACCTACAACTTGATGTAGCCCCACAAAAAGAAATCTAATGCTGTATGGAATGTAGCACCGCCCTGTTGGAACCATATATCACTGATATCAAGATCATCCAATTCCGGCCAAAAATAATCTTCCAACATGCCACGATACCTCACTCCATTCACTGTAACATGCCGATCGTTTTCATCAACGGAAAAACACGGTCCAATCACACCACCAGCATGAAAACCACACCATACGGTGATTTTTTGCGGATGGAATGGTTTCTCTTGAAGCAAATGTGGCTTTGTTGCTGCCCAATAACTCATATTTTGCGTATTGACAAAGCCGTTGAGCCAGAAATGAGCTTCATCGCTGAAGATGATCTTGCGATGAAATTCCGGATTGTCTTATATACGTAGTCATGCCATAAGTTCTGTCCCTCGTTTTCAAACAAGTGTAGACCTGTTAATACTTGTCCGATTGTTTACATTGTGGTGTCAGTTGATTAAGCGCTTTTCGGGTAATTACATATACCTCAGTTTGTATTGATCTCTCGAAGCATAACGATGGAGTGGGGCAAGGCAGAGAACCGTATTGCAGTGATAGCTTTACATAAGTGTAATCACAGTGCTAGTCAGATTTTTGAACTCTTACGCGGCCTTCAAATATCGCGTAAATTTGTGTCTAGGACCATTCAGCGGTACAATGAGACGTCCTCTGTTGATGACAGGCCAAGAAGCGGAAGACCTCGTCAAGTAAGGACTCCAGCAGCCATCAAAGCCGTAAAAGCCAGGATTCAAAGGAATCCACTCCGGAAGCAGAAGATCCTATCCAGGGAAATGAAGATTCCTGTCCGGACGATGTCGCGCATCATTAAACAAGACCTAGGGCTAGGGGCTTACCGGAGACGTACGGGCCAGCGACTTACGGCCACCTTGCGACACATCAGGGCGACAAGATCCAAGAAGCTCTTGGAGAGGTACGCAGCTGGGGGATTCCGAAAGATTTTGTTCACGGATGAGAAAATCTTCACCATAGAAGAAAAATTCAACCGACAAAATGACAAAGTGTATGCAAGGAGTTCACAGGAAGCTTCGGAGATCATTCCGAGAGTTGAGAGAGGCCACCACCCTGCGTCAGTCATGGTTTGGTGGGGGGTGTCCTACGAAGGGGTCACTCAGCTCCATTTCTGTAAACAGGGCGTGAAAACAAAAGCGGCAAACTATCAGAGCGACATACTGGATCCTATCGTCAAGCCTTTAAGTGGTACATTGTTTGCCAACCAACACTGGGTCTACCAGCAGGATTCCGCCCCCGCTCACAAGGCTAAGAGTACGCAGCGCTGGCTGGAAAGCAATGTGCCCGAGTTCATTGCTGCGGAAGATTGGCCCTCAGGGAGTCCGGACCTCAATCCTTTAGACTACAAGTTGTGGGACCTGCTAGAGCAGTTGGCCTGCTCCAAAGCCCACCGTAATATCGAGTCCCTGAAAGCGGATTTGATCCGATCAGCGGCAGCTATTCCTTTGGAAGCTGTGCGTGCAGTGATAGATGAGTGGCCCGCGAGATTGAAGCAGTGTGTGAAGGCCAAGGGGGGACATTTTGAATAAAACTGTTTGATTATGAATTCTAAAAATGTTGTCGAATAAATAATATCTTTCATATAAATATATCTTATCTTGTTTCATTTTTATCATGAGATTATCATGGGTCAGAACTTATGGCACGACTACGTATAAAAGTACGGAATTGTTATGTCGCTATTGAAAAAACCCTGAATAGTACACGGCTTAGTTTAGAAACAGAATAGAAATATATGCTTTAGATTCATTTTTGCGTATTGCGTAAAATGGTTGCCATTTATCTAGACAGCACCCCCTCTCTTAATTATACATCCTTTGAGAAATATCACCCGGCTGTGCGTGTGTTAGCATACCTTATTGTATATATTAACAAGAATGCTGCAAACCAGCTGGCAGGAAGGTAAAATGGCCAGCTGATCGATACAACATTTTCCATTTGCTTTCCGTCAAGTTTTCGGTCCTATTGATTTAAATGAAATTTGAATATAAATTTATCAGTGATATTTTGTCCACAGGCACCAGCAAAATACCACTACGACTACCACGTCCATGACCTGCACACGCATGACATTAAATCACAATGGGAGACACGTAACGGAGACAAGGTCAAGGGTGAATACACCTTGGTTGAACCTGATGGTTCAAAGAGAATCGTCTCTTACACGGCAGATAAACATACTGGCTTCCATGCTATCGTCAAAAAAGTTCATGACTTCTAATCATGTTGCCGATCACTTTTGTCAGGTCAAAAACAGAAGTCATCAGATCTGATGAAATTTAACGCGACTTGACAACACCGCTATTGACCGATGATTTTGTTGTTATTTATGGTGATCCTGTATCAGTATTTTGTTGTTTGTATTCGTTACAAGCTAGCTCCATACGTTGAGGAACTTCCCTCATTTGGCCTGATGTATTAAGGATACTAGACACCCGGATGCATCTGTCTGTACGTATGAAGCCGTAACCTAAAAGTGGACCATATGGATATTTTTTAGTCTTCAACATATCTCAACGATATGATAGGCTGCTTACTACTTCTTGATACCATTTGGTTTGCTTTTGGAGTCATTATTCGCACATCCTAGTATCTAGCATCCTTGGTCAAATGATATAGAAGTACAAGTTTTGCAGTTTATTTTTCCGTAGAATGATTTTGAATTAATTCAGTCTTGGATTTTAAATTGACTCCTCAACGTATGCAGCCAGCAAAAGTTATATGACAAATGTTGTTTCTAAGTGGTTAATAGAAAAAAAATTACTGAAAATACTAAAAATGCAGTTGTTTGTCGTATAACCACCTTGTTATATCAATGTGATATTTTACAGTTTTTTCGTACACCAGTTAATTAAGATACACAAAAAACAAGAGTTACATTTGTTACTAGTTGTCCTATGGGCTAACTATATTTTACCTTTGATCATAATGAACAACCATTCATTCATTACTATCTAAGTCTAAATTATGTAAAGAGGTTTCATAGCAGATTAACTCTTATCAACAATTTCACATCCACTTGCTAAATTTGTAAATTTGTTTAGACATTTCATCTACTAGTACTTTTTGTAGTATATGCATTTGCCATATCACTTTAGTCTCCATATATACAGATACACCATTCGTGTGTCCATGGTAATCTGAGTACGATTTTTTATATTTTGATATAAATACTTTATATTTTTTTACTTTATTTATATATTTAGTTTTAAGGTAAGAGACGATGATTTTCATTGCTCGTGTGTATGTAAATAAGCTTAATGATATGTATTCATGATGTGCTTTTAAAAGAATAAAATGTTATGCGTTTTAAAAAAGTATTTCTTATTTTTAATTGGAGCATTGCCGTTCCTTTTTGATGAGGAGTGCATAACTATCAGAATTATGATCAATAACGGAAATGAGCAGGACAAATTGGTAGAAAAGATTCCAAAGCTCCTGAAGTAACTGCTTCTATACTCAATAAAGTACACACCTTTAGAAAATATTCCACGTATGAAACTGAAAGTTAGTTCCAAATAACTGCTTTTAACTATATCAAAAAAATGAAGCGGAGTTTTGCGAACTGAAAAGTCAAATTTACACTTTATCGTATCTATGCAATTCTATAATTTAAATATTCACACACGTGTTTTAAACCTTCATCCATATTTTTCTTTTTATTTTAGTGCATAGTTGATTTTACTTCCCACGCCTACTGGCGAGGAAGTATTGTAATCCCGTTTGTATCTAGAGGGGCCGAACATAATCCTTTATGAGCTGATAACAGTCGCGTGGGAAGTGCAGAGTCCATCTACTTGCAACCACGCGCTCCTATAAAAACACTTAAATATTCCCAGATGGATGAATTTTGCACCAAACTCCCAAAATTGATACCTTTAAACAACAATCAATTACTTGAATAAAAAGAAATACGTGTACATTGATAAAAATTTATAATACACAAGTTCCAAAATATTTAAATGCAAAAATTAGAGTTATTTTTAGAAAAGTTGAGGTCAGGCCGGTATACAAACCAACAGACAGAAGGAAACAATTTGATGAGGATTTTTTTGTAACTCCAGTTTTATTATATTTTGGGTTATATACTCAGTAGTACATATAACGTTTGTGAGGACATGGAAGGAATGTATCCAGTGATATGAACGAAGCTAACTATAGGTAGTGGCGTGTTTTCAGTCTTGATTTGGAAATCACTTTAGGTTACAGAAAACGCTAACACTTATAACGGATAAACAGGATACAACATTCTTGTATATAGTGAAATTAAGACATATTTTTTGATTGCAGACTTTTAACTTGCGTTATGGGGCTTATAGGGCTAATAATTGAAATCAAAATTGAGTCAGATATATCGAGCCATTACCTTATTCGTGCTTCACATACTCAAAATCAGTATAGATGCATTGAAGGAACATGGGTATGCTTTTTCTTGATAAGGAAAAATTGTTAGATATGGAATAAAAGTTTGTACGGCAGAAAAATTACCTTTTAATGTACCATCAGTACAAAATGAGATTGTAGATACATGTTGTAGTGCTACCTATAATTGAAAAACTTAATTATAAAACAAATTTCTCCAGCAGACTGGCTCAGTCGGTAGTAACATTTATGACACAGAGGAGAAATCATTTTAATATCAAAATCTGCATATTTTCTTGTTGTTCACTGATGTCAAACATACAGCACTATCGCTCATGAGGAAGTTACAAAATGTTGAAAATAAATTATGAGATCTGCATTAAGTATGTTAGAGTTATGATACGGATTTTACATATACTATATATAATCCTTTCTATTTCTTCACATCATAAAAATGTACAATAACAAGGAAACAGTTCTGACAGTATAGCACGGGCCGGAGAAAGTAATTCGTTGCATATTTAGTTGAATTAGAATCCTATTGTTGCTATTTTTCATAACAATAGGACATTAAAAATAGACCTGTAGTAATGAAAAAAAAAAAGAATAATGACAATGACGTCTCCGTATACGGAGTAACCTAGATTAAAAAAAATTGCAGGTCATTTTACGTAAATACTGTGGTATAGCGATGATAATCCTTAATCTTGAAGGAATTATCGTTAATGATACGTAATTTCAGTTTTACAAGAGTAGAGTGATACTGCTCAATGGATTATTCACATTCTGCTGGTAGTTACCATTGAAAGAAATAAAAATGCATTTGACTTGATTACGATTATTCATGTACCTGGATCATATCTTTTATAACGAGAGAATGCACTAAATTATATGGAATCCATCAATACATACCTTAAAAATATTCCATGCTTTTTATACAATTCAATCCGCATTACAATTAAACACCTAATGGTTCTGGGAACCGGAAACTTCAGTCAATCAAATTCCCTAAATTATTCAAGAAACAAACAATAAAATACAAGCATACAATATTTTTTTAGTTTTCTTCTGATCTAACTCGTGAACGATAGGAATTTTGGAACAACAAAATGTAAACCGCCAAATTATTAAGTTTGGAATAATTCTATATATCTTTTTGACAACGCCTGAAAATTACGGAGAACCAGAAATAGCAAACACAAATTGAGCCACTGCTGTAGCTCCATCGTATGGAAAGTTATCACGTTTCTTATACACGATGATTCAGAAAACAGTGGCAATACTTATATATCAAAAAAATAACACGAAAACTTCATATAAACATGTGTCCTAAAATACCTCTTACTTAGATACAGGATGTTGGAGTTTTACTTTTGGAATGAAAAAGAAAAACAGATTATGGTATTGACTTAAGGTTTTGTACATAACAGCATACCCAACATACGCAAAACTGGGTCTAAACCAGCGGCATAGGAATAGGAGTAGGAAAATTTGGAAGAAAAACCGTATGTAAAATTCAACCCTTTCTACTTTGAACAAGAGCTGAAGGTAGTTTACTGAGAAATGTATGCAGTGCATTATGTGCGTGATCATCTCTCTCCAAGGGATTACTTGAGCAGCATTTACATTGGTCCTTATTAAGTCTCATCATTTATATAGTTAAGTATATGTATATAAGTAGATAATAGGATATTTCAAAGCATATGTTCATATGAATTTTTTTATGTTACGAAACATGTACTTGCAGATTGTACAATTGGAAACGCTAATGTCCAGGTACATGTGCTGCAAAATGTTGAAAACCATCAGGATATTTGGCATACACTTCGTACCATGCGCCTGGGGCACTTGTTATGCTGTTTGCAATATTTTTTTCGCACAAAGGTACCAGGCACATGTTACAATCTGAGATGTTCGGGGCGCATGTTGTGACATATGCTACGGACATGTAGCGCCACAGTCATATACATTCTTATACCCGGAGCATGTTTGACAACATGTTGCAGAATGTTTTAATTCCAGCAAGAGTGCCGGCACATACCACGTCACAAATTTGCTGTAAAGGAAACGTCTTGAAATATCATTTACTGTATCTCCGTATAACGCAGGCATAATTCATCTCAACATAGATTGCCGATCCCTTTCAAATACATGAGAGTAAGTTATTATTGAGCTAAATCAGGTATTTAGTCCGAAGACCGAATGGCCCAAAAGCGAAACCTCACTGAAGTTGTTGGGTGCAATTCAGTCACTTATGATGAGATTGGAGTTTTGTACTAGAACTTGAGGTACTTGCTCAAATATAATTTTTATATGAATTAACCTCACATGTAATACTTGATAATGCTGGAAGTTCTTTTCGAATAATTTGCCCGCTCTAACTATCTATGAATCAGCCCTTGAATTGTTGTGTATTGCTTGTCCATTTTGTTAATCACATAATTTCGCCGGTTTATGCGTGTGAAGTAAAAATATTAAACACAGGTGCATCTAATCCAATTATTTGATACGATAACGTTTTTCCTTGGCAATGCACTAGTTGCACGCATACTCGTTACATAATAACCTAGATCCATAACACATCCGACTTTTCACACTTCAATTAGCAACGAACGACTAAGAATGGAGGAAGCAGCAATTATATTTGCAATAATACGTAACATGGTATATGATCTCCAAAGAAATGTGGATTATTACTTAAAAGGTAACTGGCATCGAGCTTGATAATTATATCATTTTCTTTGAAAGGAAGTACAACTTTCGATTCCAAAAGTTTATGTATCCGCCTTATTCAATGCGAAGTGCCCACTTTGACAACAATAACTGTGATTCATGCAACATCTCTCTGCTCAATCAAAAACTGAACAAGGAACAGGTACAGGTATATATGGGAACAGGTGCAATCCTGGGCATAGTATACCGCTTGGAAGACATACGAGTATCTCTGTATTTCAAACAGAAGTGTATATGCAACCTTATACTGTGCAAAAGTAAATAATGAGTGATCGTATACATAATAATAAAAGGATCACCATATACACACAGAGTCAGGCGTCACTCATCGTGTTGGAAAGTCTTAGAGTGGCATCTGGACTGATCTGGGAATGTCAACAAGAAATGAACACCTTAGGAACACAACAAAGTAACTCTGATGTGGGTGCCAGGACATTCACGTAACGCAGGAAATAAAAGGACAGATGAGCTTGCAAGGAAAGGATTATCCACACCCTATACAGGCGCAGAAGTTGCCTTGGGTTTGCCCAAAATCAAAATAACGCACCAAGTCAAAGAATGGGGTGAGAAACAAGGACACAAATTAATCTAGGGACTATGTTCAAACAACTGCGGAACTGCTCTCAATGAGTAGAAACCAACTCCATGCTGTTACAGGTCTTCCAACAGGAAACAATTGCCTGAAGGAACATCTGAGCAAAATAGGGCTGTATGATGGAGAACTTAGCGGGGTACTGAAAATTCGAGGAGCAAGCCACAATAAGCCCTAGAGGCTGCAGTGCCATCGGGGACTTTGGTCGGACCGTCCCTCTGAAAAGATAAAACAGACCTTTCTCTCCATACACCATAGTCGTAAAAGACTGTCATTTAGTCTGTAGTCTGGTGATTTTGTCACCACTTAATCTCAGTAACTTCTTTACTAAGTTTATTCACGATATATCATCATAATGTGTTATTATCAAAGTGCACCTACTGATTGTGTTTTTATATCATAGTATAATAAATATGATATAAAAGCTTTGAATGACTATGATAGCAACATACAGACGCCACTTTCGATTGTGCAGTATTCAATATCGCCTTGTCTAGATGTACTGACCATACTTGAGTCTTACGCTATGGTCGAAACATCGCCCTGCACAACAAATCCATGTGCATTCGCCAGGAGTGAAGTGCATAGAGGG